GCAGAGCACAGCAGAAGTGCCAGGGAGAGGCCAGCGTAGGCCCTGGCAGAAGGGGTTGCTGCAGGAAAGCTGGGGCATCCAAGCCGCAGAGCACAGTGGAAGTACCAGTGAGAGGCCAGCGTAGGCCCCGGCAGAAGGGGTTGCTGCAGGAAAGCTGGGGCATCCAAGCCGCAGAGCACAGCGGAAGTGCCAGTGATAGGCCAGCATAGGCCCCGGCAGAAGGGGTTGCTGCAGGAAAGCTGGGGCATCCAAGCCGCAGAGCACAGCGGAAGTGCCAGGGAGAGGCCAGCATAGCCCCCAGCAGCATGGCCCACAACCTGACCTACCTCCTCCATCAGGCTTCACTTCCTAAAATCCCATCCAGGTTTGGTACCATCAGTGGGATAACCCACTAATGAGATCAGCGCCCTGCCAATCCAACCATCTCTCCAGGAGTCAATCAGATCAAGTTGATTGAGATCAACCAGCACACATACAGTATGTGAGTTTCAAAATACTAAAAATATATGGCTTCTCTTACATGGGAAGCTCATGATTTCTGTCTCTGAAGTCTCTAGAGGTTAGATAGTTATGTATAGAGTTGATTTACTGCAAATATCAACACTTGCATGTTATCAAAGCAGTGAAGTCTGTTCAAAATTAATTCTGTGCATAGATTGTACTATTTTATCACAGTAACCCCATGGGGCTGGTATAATTTATTCCTGTCATTTTATACATAAGGAAACTGAAGTGTAGAGTAGTTAAGTGACTTGATCAAGCTCAAACACTGAGGAAGCCAGAAATGAGGCTCAGAATCCAGCTATTTTGACCTGACCCAGCTCCCAACATAACTGTGGCCTGTGGCCTGCTTACCGTGAGTCTCACTCTCTTCCTCCTCTAATCTGCATAGGCCCTGACAGCAAGGGACTGGTCTTTGTATCTGCCTCACCCTTGGCACCACCCACCCTATCCATCTCCCCATTGGCTGGTTAGACCCAGAGGAGATTCCACTGTGGTGACACTCACTGACCTCACATTGGTGCTCCACAGAACCCAAACATTCTGTAGGGAACAGAACTTCCGATTTGCTCAGCTAAATACAGAGCAGGTTTTAGATTATGGGTACACATTTCCTTTCATCTGTATGCTAAAAGACTACCACGTTAGAGCAAAGAACATGGTTCAACATTCTTTCATGTTTGTGGTTTTGTTTTTACTGGAATGCCTTCTTTGTGTGTGTGTGCCTTATGTAGATGGGTTTCATTCTGTTGGAAAAACAACAGGTTTACCAGGTAGCCTCAACCATTGGTTTTCTTAAATCATGGTAATTTAAAAACTGTTTGTGGGGAGATAAATGAGAGCTTGATTATCTTATTGCTGCAAATGTTGTTCTCTTCTAGGCAATAAACAGTCACAAACACTCAGAAATGCCATCACCACACAGCCCAGAAGGTCCTTTGGTATAATCAGATCTGCTGGGATTCTAAAGATTTCCTTGAGACCCAAAGGTCAGTCATTTCTGTCCTCATTAGGTGAAGGAGAACTGCAGCTGTGGGTCCACTCACTGTTGTGTGAAGATGCATCGCGTGCTGCCTAGTAGCAAGCTCCGTAAAGTATGGTATTGTTAGGCTGGCTGGGCATGTGCATGCCTGTAATCCCAACCCACTAGGGTTGAAGTAGCAGGATCAAAAGTGAAAGCCCCGCCTGGCAATTTAGTAACTCAGCAAGACTGTGTCTCAAAATAAAACATGAAAAAGCGCTGCCTTGGATATAATTTCTAGCACCACAAAAATGTAATTAGATAAAATGTGAAATCTGCCAAAAAAATGCACATACACCTTAGGTGAAGAAAAACTTGTATAAATATTTTAATACTAAATTTTTTGAGATATAGTGAGATTAAAACAAGTTACCCTTGGCTTCTGCAATTATGAGAGGTGCTCACGGTGGTGGCCATCAGCTTCCAGACATTTGTTAGCACAGTGAACTGCTGCCTGGGCAGCCTTGTCACTGAGATGGTTGCACATGCATTTTCAGTTTCTTCTCTTGGGGCCAGCAGTATAGTTGGCACCTGCCATACATGGCATCCTCTAGGGTCCCCCATACAAGGGTAACACCATCTATTGAAAAAATCATATAATTTTTCTTTGTTTTCTTTTGGTACTGGGAATTGCACTCAGGACCTTGTGCTTGCCAGGCAGGCACTGTAATGGTGAGCCCTATTTTTGTTTTTCCCAGCCCTGTTTCTCTCTCTCTCTCTCTCTCTCTCTCTCTCTCTCTCTCTCTCTCTCTAATATAAAA